TTAGGAACCAAATAATTTTGTTACAAACAGTGTCCTTATACTTCAAGGCCTAAGAAGTAGTTAAGAGTACCAAGGTCCTTCATCTCAAACTGACGGTGGAGAAACTGTTTGAGGTGGAGAATACCAGCGTCATCATTACCAGTGATAATCATATCGTCCACATACAGAAGAAGAAGAGTGGTACCATGAGAAGTAGTCAGTATAAAAAGAGCAGAGTCATAGGAGCTAGAGGTGAACCCAAAGTCATGAATGGTAGAACTGAACTTAGCAAACCAAGCACGAGGCGCTTGCTTGAGGCCATAGAGAGCACGTTGTAGTTTGCAAACTTGATGAGGTGGAAAAATGGACCCAGGTGGAGGTTGTATGTAGACCTCCTCAAGAAGATGACCATTGAGGAAAGCATTTTTGACATCCATCTGAAAGAGCTCCTAGTGGCAAGCAGCAGCAACAGCAAGTAAACTACGAACAGAGGTAAGCCGAGCAACATGAGAGAATGTCTCCTCATAATCAATACCATATTCCTAGTTGAAACCCTTGGTAACAAGACGAGCTTTGTAGCGTTTAATAGAGCCATCAGAATGTGTTTTGATTTTGTAAACCCATTTGCAGCCAATCGCAGTTTTGCCAGGAGGAAGATCAACAAGATCCCAAGTATGAGCTTTGTCCAAGGCCTGGAGTTCATCAGTCATAGCTTGCTGCCAAAGAGGATTAGTACAAGCCTCACGATAGAAGGTAGGTTCATAAGTAGAGAAGGCAGCAGATCCAACAATATAATCACGAAGATGGATAGGAGGTTGAGTTACCCGGCGTGGTCGACCCGTAGGAGGATCGGTGGGAGGAAGAACCGGTGGAGAAGGAGGTGTGGCAATGAGAGGTAGACCTTCAGGGAGAGCAAGCTGGACGGGATCAGGAGTGAGCAAGGGTGTCTCGATGAAGGAGGAACCAGAAGGGGAGAGAAGTTGTTTGAGCATGGCCTCTACATCCGTCGGAGAAAAGCGAGGGGTAGACGGAGCAAGTGACTCAGAGAATCCCGCAGAGGCAGTAGCATCAGTGTGATGAGACTGATTCCCGAAAGCAGCAGCAGTAGTGTGATGAGACTGATTCCCGGAAGCAGCAGCAGCAGTGTGATGAGACTGATTCCCAAAACGATGAAAGCTTCCCCGGGAAGAGCCACCGCGAGAGGAGTGGCTATTGGAGGATGATCGGGATGGATTGCGAAAACAATCCTGTTGCAGATGACCAGGACCAAGTTTATTGCAGTAGCGGCAGGATCTGACGGGGCAATTGACCAGGAGATGGGTTGAAGGAAGGCCCCAATTCTGACAATAGAGGCAAGCAGTGGTCCGCTGGGTATATGAAGGCCGGTACGGAGGAGTGGCAAGAACAGAGTCCGCATGATGAGTTTGAAGAGTACCGAGACGAGTCTCCTCTGAGAGCAACTCAAAAATTGCTTGTTCAAGAGTGGGCAATGGATGACGATGAAGCAGAGAGGCACGTACGGCCTCAAAAGAGGAAGTAAGAGCCATGAGAAAGTGCACCAACCTTTGCTGGTTGCGATAGATAGTAAATAAAACAGCATCTTCTTGGTTATGCCAAGTTGGTTCTGAAAGAGCAAGCTGATTCCAAACAGAGTATATTTGAGAAATGAAGTCATTAATGGACTGAATGGATTCTTGGCGCATGCGGTGAAGTTGGTTCTGAAGTTGATATTGATGGGCAAGACCAGTAGTCTGGTACCGTTCTTTCAAAAAATCCCAGATGTCTTTTGCAGGAGTAGTTACAGAGTCAAGCTGAAAGCGACCAAACTGAAGACTAATAGAGGTAACAGAGGTATTACGAAACCAGGTAATGATTTGGCAATTCTTACTGTCCCATTCCTCAAGTCAATCTTCATATGTAGCAGTAGGAGCACCAGTTTCATTAGTGTCACTGTCTTTTACCGGTTTAGTTACATCCTCGGTGATAATTCGCCAGAGCTTCTTTCCTTTGAGGAAGGAAAACATGGCTTGGGCCCACAGAACATAGTTGGAACCATTCAAAATAACGGAAATGGGATGGGAGGCATCATGACGATCCATAATAGAGGTTCAATAGGGTTAAAGCAATAGGAATAGACCTGTAGGAGCAAAATTAGGTAAAACAGAGTATACCAGTGAATCCGGAAGGTCGAAAATAGCAAGGAAAGGTATGCTGTACAGAGATGATGTCAGCAATGATGTCAGTGGCGCACGTTAGCAGAGTGCAGGGAGGAGCACGTTAGTAGGAAGGCGGCGGCGCACGGTAGCGGAGAAGCGCAGGCGCAGCGCACGGTAGCTGTTTTGGCGCACGCGGGTGCACACTAGTGAAGCGGCGCACGAGAGGCGTACAGTAGCAGGCGCGGCGTACGGGAGCGGCAGGGCTGACGTCAGCCGCGGGCGTGTGGGCGCGTGTCCGGGCGGAAGTAAGCAGCAACAGATGGTGCGTGCAGGTGCGTGTGAGAGTGGTGGCGGAAGTGGTGACGCGCCGAGGACAAAGGCGGCGCATGTGGGCGCGTGGAAGGTTTTCTGAGGACGGGCTTGGTGCCGTTGGAATCGTGAGGAAATTCCGAGCGGTTTGATGTAGTGCCACTATGTACGGGACTAAACACCAAATCAAAAATTGCTAGAAATGTAACACTGGGCTCTGATACCATGAAACAATAGTTTGAGAGAGTGAGAGAGAGAGAGAGAGAGCAACTGTATATGAAACAATAGTTTGAGAGAGAGAGAGAGAGCAATTGAATAGCTCTGTATTAATCTGTAATGTTGTGTATTTTACAAAGAGAATGCACTCTCTTTATAGAGAGAATATGATGCATTGGATGCCCACCGAAAACATAAAGAATTTACAAGATAAAGTGCTAAAGCTATAATGCTAAGCTATGATGCTATAACAGCTATTAACAATTATACACTAACAGTTATGATGCTATAACAGCTATTAACAATTATACATTAACAATTATAATATATAAAATAAAAAACAAATGAGTAAAAATTAATATTAATATAGTATTTTAGTATTTTAAGTTTATTATAATAAAAATCAAATTATATATTATACATATTTAATAAATATAATTGAGGCGGGGGTTGGGTAAGACAGGACGAGGTAGCAGTGGCGGAGCCAGAAATTTAATTTAGAGGGGGCACTTACTAATTATAATAATTTTTACAAAAAATATTTCACGTAAATTTTTTACGATTGATTTCAGGAAGCATAAAAAAAAATATTATTTATAACTAGTGTATCATGGACAATACAAAAAAAAAATATGGATGTATGCCTTAAAATAAATTATATAATGATAAATTATTTTTTGATACAAAATTTGATTAAAAATTCAATATAATGGTAATACCATGTTATCATTGGTATGTAATATCATCCACTAATGGTAAATAAATGCATAAAAAGTGAACCTCACATGTCAAATGTAACTAACAATCTAATAAATTTCATATATTTATAGTGAGATTACTTATACTTGCATATCACTAATAATGATATTTTCGTTATATTCAAAAAATTTCATAACTAATATAGTTTATTTATAATAGTCTCTTCATTTTCAATCAAAACAACCATTATTGTTTTCATAATTTTTAAAATGTCATTGACATTTCACTCTAATAATATTTTTATAATTTTTTATTTAAATTTTATTTTATATTTACCAAAAAAATAAAAATAAAAATCCAAAATCTAGGAGCACGTGACCCCACTGGTCACATGCTGCTTCTGCCCCTGGTTGGGAGAAACAAAACCTGTGCCCGCCCTCACTTTCTAATGGTTATGTATCACTTTTTTGTTTTTCTTTTTTTATATCGTTTTATGTTACTGTGTACATAATATTATATTATTTATTCAATCCCACTACAGACCTTCACAATCTCCACAAATTTGTGAGAAAGAGGGAGAGGAGAGAGAGGGAGAGGGAGGGAGAGAGAGAGGAGAAAAAAAACATAATGAGTGGTCACTAAGCAATTGGGGTCATGCTGGTCACAAAATTTGAAAGTCTCAAATATTTTTGTTATTTACTTTCAATATAAATTATACTTTGTCTCTTTTATATTTAATCATTTCTTACTTTGGCCTTTAATTTTTTTCCCCTCACTTTGTCTTTTATGTTTGACCGTTTCTTAATTTGGCCTTTAAAGTTATTTTTCTCTCACTTTAACGCTCCATGTTTCATTTTTTTTTTAATTTACTCCAAAAGCTAACTTATATTCAAAATTAGATAGAAAATGACACATTGATAGCCACATGACCTTTTTTTATTTATTTATTATGTACAACTCACATCTTTGACACAAACCTAAATCTCAATATAATAATATATTTTTTATATTATGTGGCATTTTTTGTCTAATTATAAACAAAAGTTAATTTTAGAAGTAAATTGAGAAAAACTTAAAATATAAAGGATCAAAGCGAAAAAAAAAAAAAAACAAAAAACTCCAATGGCCAACCAAATTGAAAAAATGACCAAATATAGAAGGGCAATGCCTAATTTAGTCTTGTTTTTATTGTTTTTTAAAAATACCAATTAGGAGTATCACTCAAGTGGTGGTACAAAATGATTTTAAAAGAACTTCCACTTTCAGGAAGGACTTTGAGAAGTTCTGCTCTGCCAAACACCACCTAACAATGATCAGCCTCTACTTCTTGCTTTGATTAGCTTGTACTTTCTAGCTTTGCTCATTTGTACTATAACATATCTAATTTGCTAAAAATGATTACAATACAAATCAACAATTATAACTCAACCAATTTTGTGTGGAAAATTGCTTTCTGATATTTTCAAGTTTGAACACCAAAGCACTCAAAAGATATTTGACATGCAATATTCTAATGAAAGTTGCTGACAGCCCTAATTCATGAACTGCATAAAAGAACTAGAATTCAAGAGCACATCAAAACACAATATTTTAAAATTGCAGTTTAATTTGGTCAAAACTCAATCTCTTGAATTATCTCTGATTAAAATTTGTATCTCACATTGATGTACAAGTACAACAGCAACAAAAATGAAAGAGAGAATGAAGCAAGGAATACTAAATAGTAAATAAAGATCGACAATACTAATAGAAAGAGTTACAACCTGTAATATGGATGTCATAGCATCCACCAAAGTGACTTATACTCTACCAAATCATCTTGCGTGTAACTTCTGGTTACAAATATCAGCAAACAAAATGGATAGTAGAAGACGTAGCGTAAAATAGGGTAATTTGACGAAACCGGGATGCATAGTGGAATGAAGAGAACTATCAGAATGGTAAGAAAAACCATGCCCATGATTAGAACAGCATGGGCGAGCCAATTGAGAACGCTCACTACAACATACACTCCAGCAACGAATGCTAAAGACATCATGGTGAGAGAGATCCCAAGTAGTGGCAGTGCCAATCTGAAGGCAGTGAGCACCAAATTGAGGTCCCCTAATTGAGCCCAGATGAGTGAAACAGAAACAATGATGGAGCTATACATGGCTATCGTGTCGCAGAAAATGAACATGTGAAACCATTTGTGTTTTAGCATAGTAGCCATGCCCTGATCATGGTCAGAGTTGTTGTTATAGCCACCTGGCATTGTGAGACCGGCTGCAAAAGTTACAGTGGCGACGAGGGTGGACACCAACAGAAGAGTGTTTACTCGGTCCTTATAGTTGTCAATGCTCAGTTGTTCCAATTGCATAGAAGCTAGTCTCTCTTTCTTTTTAGCATTGATGGCCTTTCTACAGTAAGCTCGTGGTGCACCCGCAGCCTTCAGCGCAGTCCATGTTAACCGCTGCACGACAAAATTTAACTTGGGGCAAATTTAAGTTATGGCCACTTAACGGCAATTAAAAATAGCAATCCACTAAAATTCCTTCAAGTTGATGCTAAATAACGATCAATAGTATTATGAACAGAAATTGGTCAACAATGATTACTGTTAAGTGGAATTGATGCAAATCAATTAAACCAAAAAGAAGAAGAAGAAGATATCAATTAGCTGAATGCATACCTTTCGAAATGAGGGCATTCTTTCCATGTAGTGTTCGGCAGAATCAAGAGCTGTCATACCCTCGTTATTCAATACTTTTAGGTCCATTCTGCGATCCCATGTTAGGAGATTGACAATCTTTGGGTGCCAATCCATGGTTGCCAAATGCAAGGGAGTGTTTCCGTGCTTATCCCTCATGTTTATAAGCTTTTCGAGCTCAGGAGTTTGAAGAATGTAGCTGACCATGTTATGTCCTCCGCTCTTGGCAGCAACATGAAGAATATTCTGACCACGACAATTCAGCAATTCCCTCGAATCAGGCCAACATTGAAGCAACGCCCGGACAACATCAACATGGCCTTTAATTGATGCCAAATGAATCGGAAATAAGCCATTGTTGTCCCTTGCAACAGCAAGTGAACTTTCCCTTCCTAACAAGTACTGAACCTCTTCAAGATAGCCTAAATATGCAGCCAAGTGAAGTGGAGTACTTCCTTCTTCATCTACTAATCGAATTAACCTTGGTTCCCACTTCAATAAGGCATCTAAAACACCTGGGATATTTAAAATCAATTGAGAAACAATTAAACAAAAACCAAAGAGAATTCAAGAATATATAAGCTTTTAGTTTTTTTGATATTTGGAATTACCTCGGTTTCTAGTTAAAATGGCAGCATGAATAGGCGATTTCCCTTTAATCCTTTCATCTGTGTTTCCAATCCCAACTGTATCACACAGAATATGCGTAACAAGTTCCACATACCCTGCTTCAGCAGCCAGACACAAAGCTGACTTCCCTTCATTGTTCAGATAATATAACACTTCTGCATCAACCGCGATCAAATAATAAGCTACAACTTGGTGACCGTTCATCAAGGCCTCGTGTAAGGCTACGTTGCCCTTTTCATTCTTTACCCTTAAAAGCAGATTATCGTCCCAATCAACATCTCTCTTAGTTTTCCCACCATTTTTAGAACACAAAAAAGGCGAATCCACAAAATCTTTTCCAAGTTGAACAAGAATCGACACTGCTAATTCTTGTCCAGCTCTTGCAGCAACATGCAATGCGGTATCTCCATCAGAATTTCTTTTCTTGATAAGTGGCGGAAAGTGGTAAGCTATCAGCCCCACAGTCTCTTCGTTTCCAAAGCTTGCCGCGATATGAAGCAATGTATTTCCCATGGGACTTACCTCATAAAAAATTGCCAGTAATGATTGTTCCTTCTTTACTGAAACTTGTTCTAATACATCAATGAAGGCATCAACATTGTTTTTTGTTGCAGCCCAGTACAATTCAAGGTCCATGCTTTGATCTTCCACACGATCTTCAACAATAACACCGGAATGCATTGGCTGTTTCAACTTTGATCCTAAACTGTGATCACTTGGACCACCGGATTCTTTGTTGGAGACTGACCTTGACATTAAACGTTCAATCCTCTTGTTTCGACCTTTCCATTGCAATCCCCTCTCTATTTCTATCTTCATGTCGAGATAAACCATCTCAAAAAACTAATGCAACAAATCGCAAAAATGAAAGTATATTTTCTGATGATTAAAACCAAAAAGGAAAATGTAATGTGATCCTAGAGGAAGGAAGGAAGGAAGGAAGGAAGTAGGAAGAGACACACATGCTTGACTTTGAATTTTCAAATGCAAAGCTTGGTAAATATTTCATGTCCTAGATAGTGGGACTCACAGTGGAAGGTGGAAAATCCAAGTTCAACTTGACTTAGTGGTTCTCTTCATAGAAGTGACTCAAGTTTAAATTTTAGAGGGTGTGAAATGACTGAATTTTCTAACTGACTCTTTTTGAGATCTTACACTGTTTTCCGATCGATCCTGGACTTTTTTGTGGCATGTGGCTGAGTTTCATTGGTGTTTCAGTAATGGATATCTTCTTTTGAGTTGGGTTAAATTTTGCCAGCAATCAACTACCTCAAAGGCAGGACCAGGACCGGCCCTGGCCTAAGGCTAGTGAGGCCTGTGCCTTAAGCCCCAAAAAATTGGCCCAAAATAGGGCCCCAAAATATAGTAAAATGCTATAGGCCCAATTATTTATTTATTTATTTTTGGTTTTGTTGTAGGGCCAATTTAAAGGGCCTCAAAATATTGTATTGGGCTCATTTATTTATAAGTGTGGTTTGGTACATATTTATTAAAATTAAAATATATACAAAAAAGTGTTAGGGGTCCAAGAAGAACAATACATACACATCTACTCAGAGCTCTCTCTCTCTCTCTCTTACGAAGTGATGAAGGAAGCATTTTTCAAGCATACCAAGGATAAAGCAGGGTAGAGAGCACTGAGCAGCGGCGAGTCGGCGACTCACTCTCTTTCTCTCACACACTCCAGCGACTCACTCTCTCTCACACTCACACACTTTCTCTCTCATAGTAAGTCCTCTCTCTCACTATCAGATTTGATTAAATAAAGTTGTTCTAATTTTTTTCTACCTTCTTTCTTTATTAGTTAGTGGAATAATAAATTTGTCCTAATTTTTTTTTTTTACCTTCTTTATCTATCAGATTTTAGTGAAATAAACAATTTTGCCCTAATTATTTTACCTAGGTCTATATGAGATTGAAAGATTGAATGGATTAGCTATATTGTCTATTGAAAAGAATTTGGTAGATAAATTAAATTATACAAACTTAATTAGTGATTTTGCAGTTAAAAATGCAAGAAGAGTAGTATTTAAGTGATCGTTGGGTCAATTGAAAACTGGATATTGTTAAACTATAAAGTAACAAAACCAATTTTTAATGTTTTTGAGTCATTATACTGATTTCTTCCTATCTTAATATATGAAAGTAAATTTTAATTTATAATTTTAATGATTATATATGCAAGTAAGCTTAAATAAAAAAAATTTGTTGATACTTCTCAAATAAAAAAATTTGTTGATACTTATCATTTTATACATAAATTTCTTATTAAAATATATATATATATATATATATTATAATTTGTAACAGAGAAAATTAGTGAAAAATCTACTATAGCAATTGTTTAAAGCATTAGGTCCAATGATTTTTTTTTTATTTTTTTTATTTTTATTGGTGAGAAGTCCATACTTTGTGAAATAGTTTGGTGAGAAGTCTTAAAAAATATTTTATTTTCAATTTTACCCCTTGACTTTTTTTTTTATCTATTTGACTTTTTCTTGGCTATCTGTTCAAATTATATATATCTGTTCAAATTTTTTTTTTTGTCTATTTGTTCAATTTTTTTACCCTGTCTGTTTAATTTTTTAATATTTTCAATTCAAATTTCTTTTTCCTATTCAAATATTTATCCATATAAAATTTATTTATTCAAAAATTCTATATGTTCAAATTATCTGTTAAAATTCTATAATTTTTTTTTATCTCTTGAAAATGAACCCGAACCCAAATTGAATCTGTAAACAATAAAATTTCATATTACATTCATAAAATTGAATAGATAAAATCATCTATCTGTTCAATTTTTACTCTCTAGATCTAATTTCTTTTTTCTCTCATTTCCTTTATTTGTTTCAATGCTTTGAATGTCCAAAGAAAAAGATTTCAACCTTTGTGTTCTCCACTCTTTTCCAAACCAAACTTCATCATCAATAACAACAACCTATATGTTTAAAGCACTACAACAGATAACCACACACACACATATAAAGAGATAATCATAGATAATCACACACAAAAAAAGATTTCCAGAAATCACAGAGGTGCTACTAGATTTGGTCACTCCGATAAGATCTCTACCGTGCTCTACTAGCTGAGACAGATCTCCTTAGCTTTTTCTATAACCCTTGTAGCAATCTTCTTCAAATTGGCTTCGACGTAAGGCAAAACATCATCAGCCTCTACAATTTAGAACAAAAATGTTATAAAAAAAAATGTCCTCATTCGTATCCTTATTCAAAGACGACCTCTTTATCTTCCTCTCATGATCTCTTCCATCATCAGAATCATCCGAATCCATCAAAGTGCTCCGGCGACGTCGACTACGGTGGCTGAAAATCTAGGAGAAAGATAAAGAGGCAGATCAGAGATAGAGGTGGCAACCAGATTAACACAAATCGACGAAAGAGTAGTGGCAGCGAGATCAACCCAGATCGATTGTCTATTTTTCCATATCTGGATAGAGGGTGATGTTACCTAAGCTAGTGGGGCCCTAGTATTGGAGTGTCAGACGACGACACCAGAGGAATAGACGAAGCAGAGGTTGTCATTGGTGGAAAACTAGAAAGAGGTGGAGGAATCGATAGCTCCAGAACCACCGCTAGTCTTCTAGACAGGGACACCATTATAAGTGATGACGACAAAGTAGGTAGAGCCATCGGCGTTGAAACTTAGAGAGAAGTTGTAGAACAAGCGAGAAAAAGAACAAATAGACAGCGAAAACAATGAGATGAGAGATAGAGAGATGGATTTGATGGGTAACAAACACGATTTTAAATATATGAGAGGTAATTTAGTCATTGTGCAGAAGTATGTCCTTATAGACATAATAATTTCGTGCCTGGACCTTTAGGCAAAAGAAATTTAAATTTGGATTTTTGAACTAAGTGCCCTTTGTAATATTGAATTATACATAAGCTTGATTAACTAGTTTATTTTTGGGAAAAATTCATTGTAGGGGTTTACCCTATGTAGCACAGACACGACACGAACACGACACAGACACGCCAGCACATTAATTTTTAAAAAATGAGAGACACGACATGCTAAGGACATGTTAAAAATATATATATTTATTTATTTAATATACCTCATATAAATAAATAATTTATTTAAAATTACAAAAAAATAATTTAACATTAACTAAAAATTAAACATTTCAAAATTATTCTCACTTATACACATTTAAGATAACTATTTTAACCATTTAATTGGTAGGTGGATGCTAACTATTTTGACTTTCGACTAGTAGTGAAAATGTAAAAAGTTTATTAGCTTGTTGGTGACAGCTTTCAAGAGCCAGCACACATTTTCTTGGAAGACAAAACGAGTTGATCTCATTACCTAAAGAAACTTGGTCGTCTTCTTCTTCTTCTTCTTCTTCTTTTCTCTCTCTCTCTCTCTCTCTCTCTCTCTCTTATCGACACAAGGATAAGAAGCTACTGAGCTTCGATTTGAATAGTGCTCAACAAATCTTGTCTCAAACATGTCGCATGAGTTTCGATTTCAAGGACTTATCTCTTTTTTCTCTCCTCTCTCTCTCTCTTTCTCCTGCTAGGGTTTTAAACAGTTCTGACGTGTCTCAAACGCGTCGATGAAGTTTCCAAATGTGTCTGTAATGAAAAAAAAAAAGGACACCTAGACTGCATGTCAGACACATGTCCACTGCGTGTTGAACGCGTGTAAGTGTCCAACACATGTTGGACTCTAATAGGCAGCCTCCCACGACGTGTCGGTGCTTCATAGGGTTTACCTAATAGCACTTTACCCCTTATAATTCAAAAAGATAGATAGAGAGCTCCCTATGGTTTAGGACTAATTTGCAACCTTAAATTTGTTAATGGCATACATGAAATGACCATAATACTCCTTCAGTTTTCCATCTCAGTTTTTTCCCACTCCCCTATTAGATAGATAATTTCTAACTTAAACCAACATTAATTTAATTAATTCACAAATAAATCATAAATATCTAATTATTTATTCTAATTCTTAACTTTTTAACCTAATATTCATTTAATTATATATTATATACACGATATATATTTATATGTATATGCCATAAACATAATGGATATATGAAATTAATTGGAATTTATCAAACACCATTGAATCAGATTCATTGAATAAAATTAGCAAAATGATCAAACACTAGTAAAACACATCACACATGCATACAGTACAAAAGCAATCAAATATACTTCCATCAATCAAGCAACGAAGCAACCCAAAAACATTATAGGTACGAAGCGATCAAGGGAGAAATGGCGACAGTCAAAAAGGTGAAAGGAGGTGAAAGACAATGCTCACAGAGGCGACGGTGATAGACATGAGAGAAATAGGGCTACTGGTTTAGGGTTACAATTTTCAGGGTTTGGGAATAGAGACGATGATGAGGGTATAATTGTTAATTTATATTATAATTTGACTTTAATATTTTTAAGGGGAATTATATACTGGGAGAAAGGAAAAATAATTACTAACACATGGGGGTGCAAGTGACATTTGCACCTCTACAACTTTTCATTTTTACTCCACCAACCACAGACACACTATAAGAAATTAGTCTTTTAGACACTAATATTTAGGGACTAGTTAAATTTGGTCGCTAAAAATAATCTTTTAGGGATAAATTTAAACATATGATAATTTACTTATAAGATTGTAAAAATAATTGTTAATATTTTCACTTAATATTTAGATAACTTTTTGAGACCAATAAATTTGGTTGCTAATACATTATTAACATCTTTAAGGACCAAAAATAATGAAAAATTTGCACCATCAGATCGAATACATGCTTTTGTAGACACCCCATTTTTGGCCTCCCTTAATACTTGGGTGCTTTATTCCGAACACCCGATACTGAAAGTTACACTGTGCAATCTTTTGAATTCTCAGTGAAGAAATTTGAATTCAAGCTCTAATCCCAAACCTTGCACCCCATTTTGGCCAAACTATTTTAGAC